CTTTCAGCCATTTACTATGGAGGCACGAAAGTGTTTTTTCAAATCTGGGCAAAGCTACCCCAGAAGACAAAGTCACCCCAATTGAAGTAAATATTTTCCCAAAACCAAAGTTTGCGATTCTTCATTTTGCACTCTTATTGTAGTTATTTATTTTCTCGTTTCACAATTGCAGATATAAATTAGGAAACAACGATGTTTCAAAATAACACTAAAATTTGTTATATACTGGATTCACACGAAAATTGGTAGTTGAAGTAGTGAAAAAACAAGACTTTCTAAAATATTAGAATGAAGTTAAAATATACGATGTGCTGGGGACCATTCAACATGTACCTAATAATGCCTCAGAACCTGACATCAAAATTCTTCCGCTTTATTACGAGGTGTAGTCAGTTGAATGAATGTTTTTCTAAGTATAGTTTCAAAAAAATCTCATAATTAAATATATTTGTTTGGAATGACGTCTCTAACCAGTTTTGTTTTGATCGATTACATGAATACATTGACCGGAAAATCCAATGGAACGAAATCTTTTTTTCATCTACTATTACGACGATATTCCATTACCACAAGTTAAGTTTACGGTAATAATAAGTCAGTGAATGCTAAATGAATTCGAGGTCCTATACTATAATCGTTTGAAAGGCCAATTCTAATTGAAAAAGTGAATCAGTTCGTTTTGTTTTCGAATATTTCATAATGGGGTGAGATAGGACCTCATCCACCCTATAGCGAAAAAAGGTTGAAAATTTGGTGCAGGATCCAATTTTGATAGAATTTTCAGGAAACTCCAGTATACTAGGGAAATGAAGTGATTGCACGGATATGACTAGAAAATCTGAAAATTATAACAGAGAGAACTTTATACAAGTGTAGAAAGGACAAACTTTTTACTAGTTCGGACTTCCATTGTCTACTATATAAAATGATTTGAAATCCCTGAAACAAGTAAAAAAGAATAATTAAAAAAGAATAGTTGAAAATAACAATTATATTAAGCAATTACCTCGAATGTTTCAGTTGTGAATCAACAACATTGACATTTTATATTTCAAAACTCCTTTGACATATTTTGAAGAAGTCACAAATAAATGATTAAAAGGAATAATTGCAAATATCTTTGAATTTTTTGTCCATTTCTGAAGACGGGGACAAATTTTGGCCTCCGAAACGTTAAAATAAGTATTGTATTATTTCTTAGGAATTTTTTTGATAGGCAAAATTGTTAAATATGACAAGTTACTGATAAATAAAAGAATGGTATGTAGTGAATTGTTTCGTTATATTTCAAAGTGATTAGGCAATGTTTCCGATGAAAACTTGCACGGTAGCACCTCCGCCTCGGCTTCTCACGGATAACATCGTAATTTTTCAAACAATTCATACAAATCATCAATAAATCATACATATGAACCTTCCTCTTGAAGCATTCCAGCTATTGGTGAAAATCGTATGAAAATCAATTGAGTAGGTTTTGAGTTTATCGTGTTCATACAGACAAACAGACAAACAGGCGCGTAGGGATAATTTTTGTTTTATAATACGAAGTTTTTAAGCGAATTCACATGGTTATGAAACTGTAAAATTTCCATGGGTGATTGGTTGAAAGGAAAAGGAAATTGCGAGGGCTTTAAAACAACATCTTATTCGAATCACCATGCTATTTGAATATTTTGGGGTGGGGTAAAACTTTAATACTCGGCGAGTCCCTGCATCATTTCACAACGTTGATGCAGTTTTTGATAAGGGATCTATTTCATTTTTATCAGCCACCCTGTATTCTCAAACGGATAAAACACAATCTAGAATCTTCAACTATTCTATTTAATTGAACATCCGTGTTCAAAAGTTACACATATACCATATACATTATTTATGACAATATGAACAATCAGACATTATTACTTCTAGGATCTTTTCACAATTACAATAATTCAACACGAAATACACATTCTGCCGTCCTTGTCATCACTATTTGGGATCTATTTACATGGTGTTCCTGAGTGGAGCTGCCAAAAGATGAGAAGAATCTGAATTTTGGCATACCTTTCAACTGAGAAAAAGTGTTCAAGTCGGTCTAAGTGTAAGTTATAACTCCTTTCATTTGCACGGTTTGAACTGGTTTTTAGGCCAGAGGGCAGATCCAGTTCAATTTTCAAGGAATCATTTGGTGAAAAGAAAAAGTTTTTTGGCTTTTCACTTCTCCACCCTTCAACAAAAATCGTTGGAAACTTCCAAAGAAAAGAAGAAAATAACTGCAAAAAAAACTCTTCATAGAAATATGTAGAGCATAAATTGATATCATTCATAGGAAAAATACACAATGTGATATATGAAAGAGTATTGTTATATAAAGCCAATTTTCAGGTTGTTTCAAAAGTTTTGTCCACTTTAATGTCATGTGTTTTTGTAGCTCAATAAATATTTATCCTACAGTGTCGTAGTACTCGTATATACTGATCGATAGAGAATCTTGTATTTCATCAGTTCGGACTTCCATTGTCTAATATAATAGAAATTGATTTGAAATCTCTGAAAAAAAACAGAAATCCATCCACCATCAATCGACTAAGAGAGGAATCATCAAGACTCCACTAGACCGTGCCTTCGGGCTCTGTAATACAAAGGAAGATCTCGAAAAGGAAGTAGGCATCATCAAAAATGACCTTCAACGGAATTGTTACTCCAGAGTGATGGTAGAACAGGCTTTAGCTAGAAGACAGCAAGAGATCCACAAGGAAGAGAAGCCGCCACAACCAGTACTTGTACTCCCCTACATCAGAGGATTATCGGAAAGGATAAGAAGGATTGGGTCCAAGTATAACATCGGGACCTGCTTCAGGTCTGGGAACACTATCCGTAGCAGCCTCACAAAAACCAGGCCACCAAACGCGGACTGCGATTCCAAGAATTGCATTTACCGGATACCTTGCGAGTGCGGAAAATNTACCGTGAGATTATATATCTTGAATAGTTCCAAATAAAAGTCGATAGGATATATATACCTCTTATGTTCCAGCCACTATATGCAAAATACCGAGCCATAAATACAATTAAACTGGGTACTTTTTTACAATGCACATTTTACAATATCTGTCAAATTCTTATAAAAATAGGTACAATTGTCGTTTCAAGTATTCAGTATAGATGAACTTTGTCTTTAACACGTCTTTTGGACGAATCTTTCAAAAGTTATCACGATAAGATTAACTTGACGCAACGCAGTAAGCCATTACGCGTCACGTCTACTGTAGGACGACAGGGGACGGTGCGTGGGGCTGGAGGGGCGTTCTGAGCAATGAAGCGCCATCGCCGAGAACGCGACCAGAACGCGGACAAACGCGTGAGGGTAGACGTCGTTGACGATTGTGTTAGTTTTGCGAATTTCTTTGTAGGTAAAAAAATTCGATTTTCGAAGCTATTCATTACTTAGTGCAGTTGGCATATTTAATGTATTTTTAACACAAAACTATAAATTACTAGCTGTTGCCCGCTTCTATATTAACGTACAGCCGAAGCTACTGAACCTAGAATCTCAAAATATGCAGGTAGGTTTTTTGTATAGCGAATGGGGAAAATTGTTTCTGTATAATTTAGTTTCCATAAAAAAGTAGTTGTTTTAAAAGTTTTTTTTTTCGTGTAATTCAATGTTTATATGGAAGCAGCTGTTCTGAGAGGGCCTGTTCTTTCAGTTTGTGTCTGAAATTTACTCCTTTGCATGACCTTCACTTCTTTGTATAGTATTCAAGAAACATTTGAATACGTTATGGATTTTCATCAAGTATCCCAACTCATCAAAATGATTATTTGAATAGTAATCCATCCGCATGGAATTGTGGATTTTGTAAAGTTCTGATCAACAGCCTTAGCTATCGACCAGAAGGATCTAGACCTCTTGGAATTGGTAAGCAGTTTATCGCCAATTCTCTGATTGTGAAGTTTTCTGCTTTCATTTATTCTAAGTTTGCAGGTGTTGCGAGCAATAACAAACCTAGTTGGATTTTCATCAAGTATCGGTCAGTATTGTGACGCCCGAAGAAGCTGTTGTATACCGAAACGCGTGTCCCGGTTTTTTGAACTTTCAAGTGGAAATCTCACATTAAAGTCTGTATTTTGAATACGATATAAAGGATTTTCATCAAGTATCTGTATTTTTAGTAGCAATTTGATTTCAAAAGCCATTTTACAAATACATATTTGTATTAGTTCAAAATGTATAGTTGAGTGAATTGCAATTGTTCAATTGCTGGGAAATGTCTTCTCAATGTCGATAATAGTGGAATTCTAACTGCATCAACTTGTTTCCAACTTTCTTTCGCAACCTAAGATGAAGAGTTTGCAGTTTCATTTGATCTGTGATTTTTCCAATCACTTTTCGAAATGAAATTTGGAAATAGTGCTGTTATTTGATGGTGAGACAAAACTCTCACTTGTCTTGCCTGTCGAATTGATCTATTGTACCAGAATATTGAAAATTCTAACTTTTCCTCTTCCTGTTACAATTAATATTCGACTTCTGTCTTGCAACATTCACATATGGTTCACCGTCTCTTCGAAATATTCTATGTGGTGTGCCTCAAAACTATATACACCGACATGAAAGGGAACTACAAATTACACATAAGTATTATGGAAATAGTGAATCGCGTAATACTCTATAATTTATGAATAGTTCTCATGACCTTCTCGCAACATGAGATATTTTTTAATATACTGAAAATTACTAGCATTCTTGTTTCAAGTAGGGAAATTGTTTGGACTTTTCAAAGGTATTTTTTTAGTTGATAATTGCAATTGACTATAATGATAGTCTTTATCATTCTCAAATAAATATATACAAAAAAAGAACAAAAAATACTGATAACTATCCTAGATATTTTTGAAAATAAAGGGCGAAGTTTATTTTTGTTCAATGTTAGACACCATCAAAAATATTCTTCCAGCCTTCAAGGAGTTCAACAAAAAAGATAATACGTTTAGCTATAATACGATTTACTTACCCTGAAGTTTCCAATTTTATCTGCAATCATTCCTGCCATTGGTGGCATCAAAATTACTACCGCTGGAGTAACGGCAGACATTATGGCTGTTTCTTGTACATTTATACCTAGTGCTCGCATGTGGATTGTCAAATACGGATATAAAACTAAAATTGCTGAAAGCAAAATGGCACATTTATGATGGTGTTGATTGATTTTGACATTAATATCTGCTAATTTCAATGGACATCTCCAAAAACATTGCTTACGTTTGATACTTAATCAACTCAAATGATTGAAAACAAAATGGCAAATCAGCTGATAGTACTCCAATCAAGTTCTGTTGATGAATATTAATCAAACATCAGTCGAAACTTGAACTAGAGCACAGGAACTACTTTTTGGAACAATAAAAATTGTAAATTGAAATCCTTTATCCCTGGATAAGATAATGAAGCATGTTTACTATTAACTTTAGACTAATGATGGTGTAATAATGTAAAGTAACTATTATGGAAAACTGAAGAGTTGCGAGCTACCATTTACAAATTATTAGAAAATGATAAACTTTATAAAACAGCTGGAATTTTTGAATTGAAAATTCATTAACTTTTCACTAAAAATAATCAACGCTCATGAGAATAATGACTACCGTGTGGATCATTTTCATTTTCCGAAAATATCATTTCGAAGAGCTGCAAACTTATTGCATTTCAGACGAATAAGACTGATCAACTGAAAATTCTCATTTTTCTCATGAGAAAACCTCGACAGAAAATTGTGTATTCAAGAAACACTTTATGAGATTTTCACTAAACAGTTTTATAAAAACACAACACATGTTTCGCTATACAATAGCTTCTTCAGGCGTATCTTTACTTTACTTCAATTTCCGTTGAGACTTTTTCATTAAAAACATGTTTTTGTATAAAGATAGAGAAGTAGAAATTCAAATCATTTCTTTTTCATCACATGGTTCTGAAACAGGAATTTCTGTCATCCATTGCTTTTGGAAGAAAAATTAATCCCTCTTAAAAATATACTCCTTTCAATTTAAACAGGATTCCTTTGGCAGTGAGGATGACAATTTTACTATTTTACTAATCTTACTCTTACTAATATTATAAATGTGAAAGTTTGTGAGGATGAATGTATGTGTGTATGTATGTATGTATGTGTGTATGTATGTTTGTGGCTATTTCACGCCTAAACTATTGAATGGATTTAGTTGAAACTTTACATAAATACAGCTTATGCATCAGAATAACATATAGGCTACAATTAACTAAGGGTTTGTGTGATTTTGGTCATAATATAACGATAAGTATTAAGTCGGAAAAATTTTGGTCCCAGAGAGTTATTTTGGCGTGCGCTGCATATACCGTTGGAGTTATATGCAGATAATGTACCGTGAGATTATATATCTTGAATAGTTCCAAATAAAAGTCGATAGGATATATATACTAAAATTATCCCATGGTTATTTATAATGACTATCATATGAGTGCATCAATAAACTCAAATTCGAGTCTAGCAGAGGAAACGTTTTGGATCTGGGATTGAATTTTACCATTCATTCTCCTAAGAATGAATTCAAATACGGTCATTCAAAACCGGACTTTGCCTTAGAAACATTGATGTTTTGTACCAAATGCACAGCAATGATTTGAGAAGCAATGCTTCCCTTACTAAGCATCATGTACATGAGATCTTTCTTGGATAATCAACTATGGGAAAGATTTTCCATTGAAATCCACAGACTTGATAATCTTGAGACAAAAGATACAATAGTTTACGTGAAATAGTATTAATTTTGATAACTGCCAATCATATGGATGTGTTATTTATTACGACAGAAAGAATGAAGAACAGATGAATATATCAATACTATTTTGACACTTGAATCAAGTTATTATCAATTTTAAGACTTCGGAATTCTCGGAATTCATTAGAGGTAAAATTATCAAGTAATCACTAACAAACCTATAGTCATAAGTAGTGTTCGTTCCATGAAAACATGAAAAAATTTGCAAAATTAACATATAATTAGCATCCAATTGATATCAATACAAATGTTTACACATTGATTGAAAATATTCACTTCAATTAAAAAATCGTAGGCATCATCGTGGAAACTAACATTCTTTTCAAATTAACACATTTTTAACAAACACTTTGGAGGGATACATGGTTGTGTGACCCATACCGAATAAACATCATAATGAGCAAACAATGTAGTGAAAATTTAATTTACTATTTAACTATTTATTGAGACCCAAAATAATGAAACGCTTTCTCACCTTTATATTGTAATTTGAATTATCACTGATGTCTCAGTAATAGCAAATATTCGCGATTCTAGTTTTCAGAAATCTACGAGGGTTTCTCTAGAAGTGACCGGTGACCGGAAGGAATTTGGCACATGAACTATTACAATTATGAAGGAGTACAACTAGACGGTATTGAAAATGAGTTGAGCATCAATCAACCGCATCAATGAAATCTAGACCACTAAGAGATTATTTATTCATTGGTTATTTGTTAGAGTGGTAAACTAGTACATTTTAATTTTTTGACTGGACTACATCCTTTTCTCATGAAAAACTCGTAAGCAATTTTTCTCTTGTAGAATATAATATTCCATTCATAAAAGCACATAACAATTCATTTTGTAAAGTTGAAAATAAAAGAATTGTGAGAGTCGTGATTCAGAACTATCTGTTTATTCAAATTCAAATTCTTTATGGGTGCTAGGACACAAGACTGTTTACACAAGCCATTTCAAATTGTACATAAACAACAACAAAAATAAAAGGTGAAGCTTGGAAAAAGAGATAAAGTCGCACATTAAAAGTCTGACAGTCATTGAAATTAGGTCAAAATTTGTATAATTGAGTTATTCTGAAATGTAAAAGTACCATTGAAAAACTCATTGACATCATGAAAGGCATATAGTAAAAAAATGTTTTTAGTCCCTTGGATTTCGCAGGAAGGGCGTTCTATAGATTGGGTGCCCAATGGGAGATACCATCGCGTGTTCTTGACTGTCTCAGGTAATCGACTTGGATATTTTGATGACATAAGATTAGTGGTAGACTAGATTTGCTTCAGGAGGAATGTATACCATTTACAGACCAAAACTATCGTGTCCTTCTCAGTATCACTTGAGGACAACTAGAGCACTTCGTTCGTTGATAATGTTTACCGCAGTCATAGACAAAACGTCATGCATAAAAACCTGCAGGTGAGAGGTGTTCATGATTTGTCAATGTCTACACAAGAATGAATAAACAACTAATTGATGTTGAAACAAGACAAAATATTCATCACAGGATCTTGAATTCTGAATGTAATAATTTTCTATCATCATGAATAACACAGTCGGAACTTCCATTTCAGCCGAGAAATGAAAGAGATAAACTGTAGTTTTTCAAAAGCATTGAAAAACTAATACATTTCGTGTGAAATGCAAGAAATCCTGAAACTAATAAAGTTCTATTCATATCATGTAGATATTATACTGAATTAATGATTACAATATCCTGATCTGGATTTCACACAGGTTTAAACCAACGACATTTTCAATTTTTATTGCAAAATTTTCTTTGCATTATGAGTACGTTTGACCTCCAGTGCGGATGTACTTCAGAACAAGAATTATAGTTAGTGTGCGTGAAATTTATGAATCTAATCGAATGTTTCTCGAATGGTACTGATACTTTTTTAATTCATCTCGTCCTCGACTCTTGGATTCGATGGATTTTATAAATAATTACCACATATTGTCGACATTTTTTCTACTGGATTGAAGTGTCACGTTGTTAAATTAATTCTTTGTTGGTTGGAGAGAGTGGTTGAATGAAATAATAACTTGAATTTTACTAGTTGTAAGAAAATAAATATTTCGAATGACAATTCGGAGCATTCGCGTTTCCCGGCTTTCCTAAAAAGTAAAATTTTGTAAATACCTGTTTTAAAATAAATACTTTCCTTACTGATACATTAGATTCGACATACTTTTGTGTAAGTTTTCTCACAAAAAAATTTATCAGCTTGCATTGTCCTTTAGAATTACCGAATCTCTTGGAATTAAATCTAACATTACCAAGAATAATTCACCATAGCCGTCGGCGGTCATGTCTTCGTGGTAGTCTTTACTTCGCTTAGAAACATAAGTTAACTGGCAACCTTCAACAAATTCTTTAGAACACCATATATGCGTGATTACAAGGCGACACCCTTTTTCCAGCAAAACTAGTTGACTATCCTTCCTGATGTGCCTGCCGATGACTGTGGAAGTGGATGTTTGCATCTGGCCAGCATTTTGATACCGTGTGTCCTTCCTTAAACCAATTTTCTTGCAAATAATATATTTTTTTCTTTCCTGGCTTATCGGATACTCCATAAATATGTTTTCCTCCACGCTACAATATCACTACGTTTACATAACATCGATTTTTTGCTATATTTTCTTTTCTTTCTTTCTCTTCTTTTCTTATCAAAAAAACATGTACTTTCAGCCTTAGGTTAGGTCCAATGTGAGTCTATTCGACCCTCCACCCCAACCCACAACGGTTTATTGTGGCTCACACCTATTCACACACGACCAAATAAAACCAGCTTCTTAACGAAACCGATTAGTTTGTATAGTAAGTGGTCTTTCAGGTCAGAGTACGGCTCTGCCGAATTCTAAAAATCTGATTTAGTCCCCAGCGGGGCAGGCTATTTCATAATTAATGAGGTAGTTGGATAGTCAAGATGGAAGATTCCCACCTTGATATCCGCGACAACCTTCCCATATGAGGGTTTTTGCACGTCAGCTACAACTGACGATGCCTTAGATTCAACCGTGCAGGGCTTTTTCGCCTCTGGTTTTGCTGAATCATCACTTGAACACAAACGTTTGCTAACCTGTTCATGGGGTGTTTGTTCCTCAACTTGAGACAGATTCTGCGAACGCCGCTCAAGAATTTGGTGCAAGGCGGTTAAATAAGGGACCCGGCTCAGTCGACTCAGTAGTTTCCTGGCTGCACCACCAAACCTTTTTTTAAGGTTCAGTTATTTGATCAGGAGTTGAAGAGTTGAGAAGCTCTCGCTCCTGATCTAAATTTACAAGGAGGTCAGTTATAGTCGTAAGCTTGAGATCCATCTCCTTTGTAGACTCAGCGTCACAAAGATTTTTCAAGTTCACTCT